ACTTATTAAAGTTTATTCCGCCTTAACGTACAACGCAACATAACAAAAATGACAGACATTTCGCCACGTATATTGTTGGTCACTACTCCTCGCGTATGTCATAATCAATAAGTAGGGACTGATACGGTTTCTCGCCTCATTTCTGTCAGTGCATACTCACGATGCTACCAGTACAAATAGCAAAATTTCCGTCTTTTTGTTTAGTTTAAGTGTTATGTTAAGTCGGAGTAATCTTTTTTTTTAATCATGAGTTCTCCCGGATTTTTGGACAAACTTCAGCCTCTCTCAGCCTACCCCCGTGTTCCTCTCGCCCAACAAACTTGCCTCGCTTACCTCTTGCAAGATACAATCTATGGCAGGCAATGTCGCTTATACTCGAGCAGTCCTATGATACTCAGTCATAATAATAATCGACTGATTTATTAGGATAGTCCGTTTTGTACCGAACCTATACTCCGTTCACTCCCGAGATGACAGTGCGGTGTAAGCTACGTGCTCACCCAACCTATCCACCGCCTCCTTTTCATCACCTGACCCCGCCCTCCGCGTGTGAGTGCGGGCCGGAGCGTGGTCACGTAGCGAAAGATAAGGTACGACTGATCCAACGAGCACATAGCCTCCACCCCACTGTCAGCTTCGGGATAAACAAAGTATAGAGTGCGGGTGATTGTTTTCTTTTTCTTCCTGCCCCGCTGGGAAGAGAAAAAAAAAAACATTAAATTTAAATTTGGACTACGGATTTTACATTTTTTTAATCAATTAAAAAAAACTGAGAACGATCACACAAAGTGTGCTGCTACTGAGAGCGGTAGCCGCTGCGTTGTGGAAAGGCATGTTGAAGGAGGTTTGCCTTCAGCCAGTGGCCGTACAAGGTTTGCAATTGATGTATTTCTTTCATTGGAATTGATATAGGAGACGTGTGTGACATGTGCACTTTGGTAGAACGGTTATGCGAGATGTTGCATCTGTTGGAGGACACAAAAACGTGTCTCTCCTCATTTTTCTTTTTTCTTTTAGAACGGGGGCGCCCGTGATCGCGTTTGCGATGGAAGATGCGAAAGTACGCACTCCAGTTGCTCTGTAGAGGCGCGGAGAGTACACGAGAACGGAACCTGGGTGGCGGCGGTCGGGAGGCGAGGGAGCGTGCCCGCATAGCGCGACCACATGGGTATCTCGAAACGGCGGCTCCCGGAGGGGTGGGAGAAGGGAGAGCGTCGCCGGAGCAACAACAGCGACGCCCTACAGCCCTACAGGGGAAGGGGGAAGCGAGAGCCTAGCCGTGTGTGAGGAACGACAAGGAGAGGGAGAGCAGTGCCTCTGCTGTACAGTGAAGCTTTGCACAATCTTTTTGTTTTCCTTTTTTTTTTTTTTTGCCTGGAAGGGGCATTAACAGTTACCGCTGTAAAAATTGTTCAGGTGTTGCTTCGTCAGCTTCATACAAGGTTTATTGTTTAGGCGAACATACCTAGGTATATTCTATGAGACCACCAGCTTCGACACCCCTCACAGAGCCGCGCAAAGAAAAGATGTAACGTCCAATGTAGCCAACCACCCTCTCCGAACGATCCCGCGGAGAATGAAAACCTTTATCGTGTTATTACTACTCCGCCGACGAAAAGTATACGCGGAGGCGGCGGCACCGGACCATCGACTTTCGATGGAGCAACGGGGCATCGGTGGCGGGGAAAGCCTCCATCATTCGCAACGCGTCGGTGTCGGCCTTCTTTGGCCCCCCAACCGGCCGCCTACCCTCAAATTGAATTTCAAGGCCCTGCGCGGTATCGATCAGCGAACCGCCAAAAAATAACCCAAAAAAAAAAAAACCCACAAGCGTTCGCAAAAGTTTAGGACGGCACGCGCGCTTGCATCGAAGCCGTGTGCTCGGCGCGGCGAGAAACGAAATCGACAGACGCGCTAGCGTAACAGGCCTTTTGCTATTAGGCACTGAGAGGGCGAAAACAGCGGAGAGTCTTGAGACTTTACTAGGTATTTGGGATTGTCTGACGAACATGTTACCGACGACGTCGGTAGCATGTTCAACCAACTTGCTCAAGCTGCAGTTTTGACGACACAATTGTCCCGACCTCTCCTTTCCCACCAATATTGCTTCCTCTCTCTCTCTCTCTCTCTCTCTAGTACGAGCTTGTTGCCTTTCGCCGTGCAGATTCGTGAGACGCCGAAGAGTTATATACAACAGAGGGCGGCCGTAAGAACCAGCACATTTGGCACGCCTTGCAAAATTCGAATTCCAAATGTACATACCTGAAACTGGGTACGCGAACGTAGTTGCACAAAGTTCTGCGTGTATTTTTTAAGCTTAACTCGGAGCAAGTGAAATAAAAAAAAAATAAAAAAATAGAGCAAAAACGGTGGCCGTACATTTCCTATGTCGTATACCGGCCTGCTCTTCGTCTGTATACTGGTTTGCAAGCTCGCTCCCAGGTGGCGTCACGAACGAAAAAACGCCAGTCATTTCGGGTAGCGCTCCCAAGCCATTAGGTTTTAGAGACAGCGAAAGAAAAGTGTATTTCAAGACAGTAGAGATTACGAAGCAAAGATTAAGTGAATGGTGGCAGAAAGCGAGAGAAAACTAGGTATTTTCTTATTAACTGATGGCAAGGAGGTTTTATAGCCTCACTTTCTTTTCAGTGCGGAGTGAATATAGTTTTTACATTTAAATATTCTAAGCTTAAATGGTAAAACAAAATGGCTATGTGGCATAAGCTACCGCCCGATCCAAACGGCTCAGCCGGAATCATCCATCCATCGCCGAGAACGTCATAGGAGAAGCTGGCGACGAGCAGGATAACCGCGATAAATACTGTTTTTGGCGAAATATATGACATGACGATGCAGTGTGAGTTACCCACTAGTCATTCGAATGATCAGTTACCACTAATCATTCGAACCAGAGATCGGCGTTCGGACGTCACCAAGCCCTCTCGTCTCCTCCTCGCCCTCAAGGCGGTAATGCAAGAGACGGCTCCCTCCGTCGAGACGGCAGGACGCGACCATATGATTGCAATCTTGGGCATAAAGCGGCGCTGTAATCACGCAACGAGTCACGGTCGCGAACAGGCGCCTGCCAAAGTCTGTCCACGAGCGCGAACAAGGCTTTTAAACAAACATAAAAAAACAAAACGAAAATACTATATAAAAATATTGCTTGTTACTTGCACCGAGCTGTCAAAGCTGTCAAAGCCACGCGCTCGCGTAAGTAGCTTTGAGAGCGCTGTGCTCTAGGCACGAAACAAACTTAAAGGTTTAAACTTCGTTGCTCTTAAGAGTTTTTTTTTTTTTTTTTTCGATATTTATTCTTTTAACTCTGAGCGATCTGGAGCAACGTGAACAAGCGGCATGACCCACAACTGTGAAGCGACCAAATAAGGCCCAAAGCGTTTCGCTTGCCAGTGGCAGTGTTCAAGACGTGAGAACTTCACGCCTATGAGCGCGAACAGTGCCTGTTAATTCGGATCGGTGACAATGGTAATCAGGAACAAGCCGCTTAGATTAAAACGATCTACGAAAGACAACAAAATATAACTAATCTTGAATTACGAATCACAACTGAGAAAAGCAAAAAAAAAAAAAAATGGTGGCTCCGGCTCATGCTTTATCTTTCAGAAAAAAAAACTCCAGCAATCCAGGTTATGAATTCTTCGTTGTTGTCTTTCTAAAACTTGTTTGCGTCGAGAGGAATCAGACCGATTAATTAATAAATTAAAGCGTGGCGATTAATAGGGTTAAATTTTTTAATCGACGCCCAGCCTTATACTTTATAGGTCTACCCGCTAATTATTCCAACCAGATTTCGGCGTTCTGGCCGCTAAACGCGCTCTCGTCTCTCTCCTTAGTTCCTCGGCTCAATGTACCGCGGATCCCGTGTGTGTTCATGTACAGTTGGCAGCCGAAGTTTGCGGGGCACGGGAGCGGCAGCCGAAACGACTGCCCGCGCCTTCTGAAGGCGCGAGCGGCCGCTCCCGAGACTCACGCTTCGAGAATGCGCTTCCTTTTGTTGTCGCACTCGTGTCTTCTTCACCCACTTCTGTCCGACGCGCACGAAATAACCGGAACCGGCGCATGGGTGCCCCTTTGTGAGTCGTCACCCATCACGGCGTCTGCCAAAACCACCGTGATGGGTGACGGAGCTCGCATGCTTCAGATAACATTTCACAGCATCTTGCGCCAGTCTCTTATCTCGTGCTTGTCAAAAGGAAACAAACAACAAAAAAATACAAAAATAAAATAACGCATGTCTGCGAACACGAAAAAAAGAAAAGCGCCTGCGGAAAGCGCGAGTCTTGAAAGCGGCAACGCGCCATGAGAAGGTGCAGCCAGTCATTTTGGGTGGCGCTCCAGTGCCCCGCAAACTTTTGTCGCCGATGTACGTGGTGGCCCGCTAAATTTGACGGGAAATTTTCTCCCCTAGATTTAGCGGGGAATCGCAGCAACGACGAATTTTATGCGTCAGGTGAGAGAAGGTGACGCGGGGCATAGACGGGGCACGAGCGCTGCGTCAGTTTTTGTCCGGGATTAAAGAAGGCCAACCCGCCGCGTTGGCCTTCTTCCAGAAACGCCGAACATTCGGCACTACGGCTTTCGTATCTAGGAAACGTAGCGACATACATGCAGCCTCTCTTGGGCAGGAGAGAGGGCTGTGGTTTCGCCGCTTCTGGTTCTACAGTGCCAGCTTCCGTTTCCCGCTCTCTATTCTAACCCCACCCCGCAACAAATTTATCCTCTTCAAGTCGTGAACCAGGGATCTTCGATCCCCACTCCTACCCGTTCCGATCTGGATGAGCATCGGTGCAGGCGTGCGATCGTGTAACATCGCGTAACACTCGCGACCGACTCCGACGCAATCTTTCCTTACTCGTCACTGTCTGATTTCAGGGCCCCCGCGGACCGACGCCGCCTCCGAGCCCCGGGCTGCCTCTCGGCGACGAGGTCCGAGCCCCGGGCTGCGGCGCACGTGCGAGGCGTCAGGCGGCGGCCCGTCCATGTCCTCGCGGCTCCTGGCGCTCTGGCTAGCCCTGGCCCTGGTGCTGGTGCTGCTGCTGGACGACGCGCAGGGCGCCAAAGGCCGCGGGGGCAAGAGGGGCCGGGGCCGCATGCGCTCTTCGGGCTCCGCCCGCTACATCTTCTACACGCACCCCAAGAGGAAGGAGTACTACGACAACCCCAACGTGAGCGGACACCACGGGGGCACAAGGGCCCCTAGAATAGCCATCCAGAGACAGGCTTAAGAGTGCCATGGCACTCGGTGCCCAGATGAATGCTCAGGTAGCGATTCGAAAACGAGGCTAATTTCGTGGTTTTCCGATGACGCTCGGAAAGTTTCAAACTAAAAACATAACGAAAAAAAAAATGGGCCATCAAATATGCGAGGGAAAGTGTGACAGCCGACATTATTCGGTATAACACGCGACGGTGCGCCCAGAAAACTAAAGATGAAAGACACGGCTCCACCGCATCCAGGCTTGAAAAACGGCCCACGTCAACTATCTCCACCTCCACGGGCACGAATGGCTCGACTCCAAATAAGACATCTTTTGATCGTAATGGGAATCTTTCGCCTCAGCGACCCTCGAGGAAATAGCAACAGCGTGCAAACAAAACAAAAAATAATGAAACCTCCCCCTGCCCCCTCTTCCCCGAGATTTGAGAAAAAGAATGTTAATCTAAAAAGAAGAAAAAAAGAAGAAACTCATCTGTTCCCCTTAACCGTGTTCGACCTCTCCTGGCCCGAATTATACGCAAAATCAAACTTTGAAAGAAGGAATCTGGGATAAGAAAAAGTAAATATTAAGTAAAAAAAAAAGCATGCAAAGGAAAAAAACAAGAAAACGCGAAGAACAGAAAGCGTAATGAAAACAAAGGACCTCCCCAGATGTCGCACCTAGGAGCCATCTTTCACGAGACACTCCCGTACCAATCGTGCGCAACCTCTCTCTCCCCCCCTCCCCCCACCCACCCACCGCCATCACTTCCTAATGAACTCCACGGCGAAATTACCCTAGCACCTCTATCCCGGTCCCCCCGCACCATTTCCCGTTATCGAGGGAGAAGCAGCAGCCCACGCGGCAAAGCAAAGGCAGCAGCAGCTCTAGCAAACGCTCAGCCGCAATCGCTTTTAAAAACAGCAAATAGAAGAAGAAAACGGATCAAATGAGGCCCAGCTGCCGAATGCTTCCCTTCCGAGTGTTCGCCGTTCCTTTTCCGCCATCTTCTAAAACCACTCGACTTCCCTCCGTTGCACTTTAGAAAAACGTTTACTCCGACGCTTCTTGTTTTTTCTAATCCGAGCACGTGCACATCTGCGCCCGTCCGAATCTAGTTGCGAGGTCGTAACAAACCTTACAAAGTTTCCTTTTTTTTTTTCTTTAATGTTTTGTAAACAGCATAGATGTTTTGCTCCAAGTTTAATTTTTAATCGGTCAGATCTTCCTTTAAACACGATTCGGGTTGCGGTGCTTTATTTCTTAAACTCAAAATAACTTGGTCCAAAACGTCAGACGGCGCACGATGTAGTTCTATGGTATCCATATAAACGAGGTTCATTTAAGAGTCATTATATATGTATAAAAACCCGACAGCGCAACGCTGTCCACGATCAAAACACGTCACAAAAACGTTAGTAAAAAGAAAAAAAAAAAAACGGCTGACACACATTCCCAGAAACGCGAGGAATTTAACGTTCGTCTCGTAACCATGGAGAGCGTTTGCAATTTAATGGCAGACGCCTCCCGCGTCGATTGATTGCAAGTACCCTTGCGTTGCGTTGTCGCGAGGCGAGGAGGAAGGCGGGCGTCGAGGCGGACAGCCCACAAACGATCAACGCGTGCAGTTGGAACCACTCCGTGATCAAGGCACACTAGACGCGTCCATCCATGTTAGCGGCACCTGTCCATAGCGAGCCTATTAGGCTACGGCCCTTGCATACTATAGTACGCAACTCGGCCTGAGATTAGGCTTCCGGATAGCCAACGCGAGCCCGGCAAATGGCCCCGCTCATTAGGCGAGAGGAGAGCGAACGGCGTTCGTGACACGCACATCACGAGCACCCTCATGTGGGAACATTCGAATTGACAGCCTGCCCCTTAGGGTCGGAAGGACGGGTAGGGTCACACATATTATTCCCTCTGCAGAGTACAGGCAACCGACGCACCGGCTCCGCTTACTTTTGGGTGAAATTTTCAGCGATGCGTATTTTATTTTTGCAGCGAGAAACACGTGGCTCTCTTATCTTCAAAACACCCGATAGTTCAGCTCAACCGATTCGCACGCTGCCATGTTGAGCCAACCGGCACGATTGATACCTCACGGTTATCAAGCAGTTGGAAATCGCCCTACGGTGTTTGACCTCGGGGTGTATCTCCTCGTCACGTGCAGGGCGCGCAGATTGAAAAGGCCTCGCACTTCGACTACGAGTTCTTCCTGGGCCACAAGATCGTGTTCATCTGCGTCGCCAGAGGGGTTCCGAGGCCACGCATCACCTGGTACAAAGACGGCATCGAAATCTTCGCCCACCCCTACATGCAGGTGAGGGTTCGAAATGGACGCTGGAGAGGAGGCCGCCTCCCACGCAGAAAAGACAGAACAACATGGATATCCAATAATTGCAGATTCGCGTTGTCTTTTCGGTCCCAACTTTCCACGTTCAAAATCAGCATCGTAGGATGCGGGCGTGTCTTCTCCACAGTGCGCCACTGCCTGGCGAGAAGCGCACTCAACGGAGCTAACCTGCCCTAACAGACCTACAGTGCTATGTTCGACAAATGTTTCGTTTTTCCTGAAAAGAAACGGAAGTGACGATATCGTGTCAGGCTGGTTAGAGGCTGAAATGACGAAAGTTCCCTCTTTCGTCATTTGAGCCTCTAGCCAATCAGACGCGATATCGTCACTTCCGTTCCTTTTTAGGAGAAACGAAACATTTGTCGAACCATAGCACCCCTGGAACAAAAAGAAATATTGCGAAACCCGAGTACTGTCGAAGTCCGACGAGAAGCTGCAGCCGCCCTGCTACATTGCCGCATTGTCGGTGCAACTTGCTCAGATTTTGGATAAATATACCAGAAAGTAGCAGGGTGAGCACTTTGGCGCAAATGGCGTCTCAATCTCATCTCTCGACACGCGTTATACTGTTTCACCTTACGATGGACCGCAGCAGACGCTACGAGTCAAACGAGCCAATCCAGCGCTGCGAATTCCGAAGGTCACGTGACACAGATCGTTGGGTTAGTGCATGCTCAGTGAGCATGTCCTAACTGAACCCGCAGTGCTAGCTAAATGTCTGAGTTCGGATGTTCCACTAGGGTGCCTGGAGCGCCTCTCCGACTGCTGTGTTCACCCATTCAAAAGCTGACCTTCGATTTCCGCCTGATGACGTCATAAAAGCGTCACGCTGTCGCCGGTCGCGATCCTGGCGGTGTCACAGCAGTGGAGATGGACGTGGCAGATGCCTGTTCCGCTGTAGGTCGTTTTGCAACCAGACAGATCGACGGAAATCAAAGCGAAATGGGACGCCGCGACGACCGCGACCCTTCGCGCGTCCGCTCGCCTTTGTCGCCGGCATTTCTATGCTCAATGGCCAGGATCGCGACGTCCGGCAGCATGACGACACTCCACCCCCCGTGACGCAATGCGTTGCCTCCTTGGGAGGCAACGGATTGCGTACGAGGGCCGGAGTGCGCAACGCACGAGGGCCGGAGTGCGTGGGCGGGAGAGAGTGGTAAACACACCAGCCGGAGGCGCGTTCGGCGCGCCGCAGTTTCACTTTGTGAACATTGCAATTCAACATCAACTTTCGCCCTATATTATATCGTCCTCTTTGCCCGTCCCGTCTTCCCCAACAGTCCATCCTCCAGATCTCCGAGTGGCAGCTCGAGGGCGACCGGATCAAGAGCAAGCTGGAGATCGACCCGGCCAGACAGATGGACTCCGGGAACTACGAATGTCAGGCGGACAACAAGTACGCCATAGACAGCCGTACTTTCAAGGCAGACTTCAGCTCCCTCGGCAGCTAGAACGAGAGCCACCCACCCATGTCCTCGCAAACACACCAGGCGATGTCACCGTCCGAAGAATTTCCTACCCTCTCGTATGGCTCATGTCTTCCAGTCTTAAAACCACTCCCACCAAAGTGAAAAAAAAAAAAAGAGAAAAAAAAACTTTCGCGATTTGACCGCAATTTGCAAGACCGCGCGACCTTTCATCGAGAGTTGTAATAGAACCTTTTCAAAAGTCTTTCAATTCACTCTGTCCAGAGCCAAACTTGACGCTCTAATGGCGGCACTACACAACTTGTCCACACCGGAAAAAAAAAAAAGACAAGGAATTGATTTTATTCGGTTCACCGATTCGAGGAAGCTTGATTGCGGGCGATCTTGTTCTTCTATTACCACCATTAGAGCAAGAAATATTTAAGCTTTTGAGATTACAGTCGGTTACAGGTTAAGAAAAGTTTTCGAGAAAAATGAAGGATGGGGGGGAGGAAGCAGACTAACCGCTGAAGAGAGGAGGATGTTTCCTCCTTATTTCTACATCATTCCGTTTGTTTCCTCCTCACCAAACTCCCTTTCCCTCGAAAACTTTTCTTAACCTGTAACTGACTCTACCACTAAATGGCTCTTTTAACTTTTGTGAATGATTTTGTTGCAAAATGGCCGTGATAAGTTCAGAATTCCGACAAGCATATTTCTGCGTCCTCATCAAACGGAAGCCTTGATGGCTTCCGTTTGATGAGGACACAGAAATGTGCGTCCGCGCACGAGATGGATCCCGTATGACGTCACGTCACACGTGATCCATTTCGTCCGCGGACGAATGAAAAAAAGAGGCAGTTTGCTAGAAGAAACGCAAGAACTGTTGTTGATTTCTTTTGGAGAAGGGCAAGGGGGGTTGTGTTGACAAACGTGAAAATTGAAAATTTCAATTCCCATCGACAATTTCGATGCCTCCTGAGCACAATGGCAAACTTTAAAATTCCTCTTCTACAACTCTCGAAGAATGGATGCGTTTCTTTTCAAGGGCTATCCAGGGGAAAGAGACTGGATTTTGTCTTCTGTTTTCTTAGGTATAGTTCGAAAAACAGCCCTTTGTTTTCTGTAATCTTGGGTCTGGTTTGAAAAAGAGCCCTTTGTCTTCTGTTTTCTTGAGTCTGGTTCGAAAAAGAGCCCTTTGTCTTCTGTTTTCTTAGGTCTGGTTTGAAAAAGAGCCCTTTGTCTTCTGTTTTCTTAGGTCTGGTTCGAAAAAGAGCCCAACTACCCAGGACACAATTTGCTGCTCGAAATTCGTTTTCTTTCAGCCCAAAAACCGCCGAATCGAGAACTGGCCGGTTTGAGTCGCGCTCGCTATCTTCTCCGTCGTCACGTGCGTTCCCTATGGTTTAGACACAACCACCAAATATAATCAGTCGTGGGTCAACAATATTAAAGAAAGAAAAGTTATATGATCCCAATTTTAGTGGCTTTTAAAAGCTTCAAATACGTTGACTGAAAGGGGGAAAAAAAAGTTGCACAGCCACGTGATTTTTGGCGACCCTCTCCTACTCTATATTCCTTCTTCCTCCCAGTTCAGTTTCGATTTCGATTTCGAGCAGTTGCGTTTTTTTTTTTTTTGTTTACTTCATTAAAAACATATGTGACGCTGCGGCAAAACATTGATTGGGTAGGCTTCTAATACCATTTTAAACTGCCCGAAAAAAAAAATTTGGGGTGTGTTACTGTTTTTCTTAAAGGGAATATCTTTTTCCTTTTTTATTGCGACCTTTTATTATGTGCTATTATGATGACAAAACTCTTCTTATGTCGCATTGCTATTATTCTTCAGATATCGACCTATGAACAAATATCAATTTGAGCAATTCGATTTTTTAAGGAATATCCATTTCCATTATGAGGCAGCTCAGCCTGTGTGAATTTTGTTGACAATCATGGGCCCGATACTTTCACGTTGCACCTTTATTTATTTTCTTCATACATGCTGCGAGAGTTTATCTGGTGTCAGTTAATTGACACATTTCAAGCGTTAAATAATTTGCTTGCCATTCAGATGTTCATGGAATTTTACTGAGGCAAAGCAAGATCAAAGATAGAAATTGCAATTGATCTGTATCAAGTCAATGTGCATCAGAAAAAAAAAGGGTTATTGTTGCTAATAGCTTTACAGAAATGTTACGGCTCGAGTGTTTATGATCGACATCCTCATCGACTGGAAGTTTATCAGTTTTATGAAAATTAAGTAAAGAATTCGTAACTGTAGAGGTGAAGTATCTTAACGTAACCATGCGCGTTGGTTCTGTATCAAAATCACTGACGGCATTTAAAATGTTTAATATATCTTGACTGCACCTTGCTGATAGGCATTACGCGACTCCCAGCTCAACAGCTCCATACCAGCCAACCAGCAGAAATAGCACAGCACTCACCGTCCAAAAGTCAATCGTACCATTTTTAGACAAACAAGTGAAGCAAGGCACGGAAAGTGCACCGCGATAAATCAAAGGCCATCTTTTACCCATCCATAAAAATGTGTACAAAGTTCCCACCACCAATGCGCAAACACTCGATCCCCCGAATTTCTATGTCATCTAGTTTGTGCCAAGGATTAGCAGCACTGACCCAACACCACATTGTCAATGTTGCCATAACAAGTGCAGTAGGCGTAATGAGAATCATAGAGCAATACACTATAAACCCACGAGAGAATGTGTCGACCGTACCTGTTTGTTGGTGCAAAAATAAATTGTCAAAGGATGCAATGCTTCAGCTGTCATCTGATACAAGCTTCGGACGTTTCACCCGGTATGATGCGAGGATATTTGTCTTACCGACCTCACCTTTTAAGGCTATTTTTCCAAAGGCCATTCTCCATGTTATGTGGCAGTCTGTTGAATTGCTGCTACTAAGGTATCCTCCATCGGCAAGCAAGCCGATATCCTTTTTAAAACATCTTTTAAATTACATTTCCTTCCACACTCGGGTTTGCTTTGGCACTACCAGAAGAAATTATTATACTATACTTTGATTACATGAATGTGCAAGGACATTGACCCTTAATCTGCACCTTGCATTTCTTTGCAAAACTGCCACATAGAGATCTCTTCCACATGGCCATCTAACTTGCATGTTCCTGCACTGTTATCCAACATGTTCCCTTTTAGCATTGGCTAAAATGCAGCTCTCATACAAACACCGTCACCTTATGCCACATTGTTCTGTTTTCCACGGCAGCTGAAATTCAGCCACTCAGATTTTTGATTAACTTGGCAGCAGAAGACCATTTCCTGTGCTACAGGAAAGACCATTCCACACAGACCTGCCCTCTACTTTTAGTCTTTGGCACTGCCCTCGCCGATGAGAAGGCGCTGCCCACGGCAAGAGCAAAGTGCCCGCGCTTTGCCTGATGTCTTGGGGTGGTACACGTGCAGGCGTATGTGAAATAAAACAGATCCCTTTCACCTCGATACGGAGTTGGCTGCAAAATTCTATTGGTCCAGTGCGACACGAGCTTGGAACGTGACTATGGGTCAATCTGAGACAAGAATAAAAAAAAGGGTTTGCTTCTGAAGTCTCCATTAAGACGAACATTCTATATTTCAATATAAAAATTTGACCATTTATCCCACGTAAGTTTATGGAAAATATTCTGAGATAAAAAGTGATTAAACAATTAGGGAAATGGGCAGCCTAACTTAGAGAGAACAGAGCAATGTTAATAATGAAAAGCACCCACACTGATTTGTAACAGGAAGTATAAAAAGCAGAGAAAAAAAGAGTGATAAAGTGACCATATGGGTGTTGCAAAACAAAGTTAAAAATGGTTGCAATACTAGTACATAGTACAGGAATTTAAAGAACTGATACAGTAGTGAAGATATGAATATAACGGAAGATTTCTTCCTAAAAGATTGTCATCACTACACAGGAGTTCCACTGCTTGATTCAAATTTAAACTGCATTGTATTTCCGAATTTTCGGCAGTACGGCCTCCACCACTCCAGTGATGTGACTGGCCTAAGCCATTTTGGATCACCTTTTGGAGCAGCCAAAAAAGTGTTTCGGAGCAGCAAAAGTGGTTTTTGGAGTAACCGAAACAGTGTTTTGGAGCAGCAAAAGTGGCTTTTGGAGCAGCCCAAACAGTCTTTCGGAGCAGCAAAAGTGGCTTTTGGAGCAGATATTCTTAAAAAAATGTATTTGCTTTAATTGCTGGACAAAACGAAGGGCACTTTGTGGTGTGTTGCAACAGAACCCGCTGTTTGTGTTTTGCTGATGAGACATCCAGACATCCCACAAGTGTAGTGTTATAGGCGTTGCCGAGCAATTCCGAAAAGAATGCTTGCCACCATTTTACTGGTTCCCGACGTGCCAGATTTTCGTCTAAAGTAAACAAACGCAAAACAATGAATTGCAAGCATCCCGGCTGGCGCCTCTGTCATGCAGTCATGTTCACATGCACGTGAGGGCAACTTCAGCAGGCTTGCAGTGGCACGTGCTTCGTTGCGCGAGCGGAGACAACGGCTGTTCAATCAAAACCCTAACAATGCCAGTCCCCTCCGTCACCAACTGGTTCCCAAAATAGTGTGCAAAACGTAACTGTCCAGCATACAAAAAAGTGAAAGCCGTTTACCACTCCCTGTAACGCCGAATTGGAGCGCAGCTCTTGAGGAGGAGGGAAGTGTACTGAGGGCCACGGTTTTTCGGGGGTCACGTGACATAGGGGAAAGGGTCACACATGACCCCCCTTGAGGGCACGTGACCTTGTTGGGGTCACGTGACCTCAGGGGAGGGGGTCCACGTGGAAGGGGAGCCACGTGCCCCCCGAGGTCACGTGACCTCGGAAGGGGGTCACGTGACCTTTGGGGAGGGGTCACGTGACCCCCCAGGTCACGTGACCAATATTTCCCCGCTAGATTTAGCGGGGCAATTTTTCCATTTGGTTTAGCGGGGAAATTTTTTCCGCTAGATTTAGCGGGGAAATTTTTTCCGCTAGATTTAGCGGGGAAATTTTTCCGCTAGATCTAGCAGGGAAATTTTTCCGCTAGATTTAGCGGGGAAGTTTTTCCGCTAGATTTAGCGGGGAAATTTTTCCGCTAGATTTAGAAGGAAATTTTTCCGCTAGATTTAGCGG